TAACAGTTGTCTAAGAGTGCAGTAGCTAAGAATAGCATTCATATTCTGGACTGTGATTTAAAATATGTAATCATGATGACAGCTTCTATCCAAGGATGGAGGACACCTAACAAAGAATAGTAAAGATGAATTTTCCTAGTGTCTTATAAACTCAATCAAAAGGGCTTTGACACAAAAAGGATGGTGGAGGGGGAAAATTGCTTACTCCCTGAGCTAGATAACATAGAAAGTAGCTATAATGAAGAAAGAATAGCCACTGAGATACCCAGAAATTCACAGGAGGAAAAAATCCAATTAAAGATTCAATGTTAAATTGTATGTTTTCAAATATGCAAATATGTGGTACAAACATATGTGTCAAGTTGAGGCAACAAACAAGAGGAACTTCAGGTCCTGTTTTGAGGATTAATTTAACATTGATGTCAGGAAAAAGCTTCCTAACAATTGGAGTTGCCTACCCAAAGTTGAATGAACTGGCTTAGGTGATGTTGAGTTTCCCTTTATCAGAAATATTTAACCCAAGGTTAGATGACCACTTGTATGTTACAGTAGGAGATTATAGACTATATGGGCACTGGGGTCTCTCTCCACTCTAAGGTAATCCTATGATTCCCAAAGTGTTAGCATGACCCCTTCAAGCATATGAGGTATTACTAGAACCTCAAAAAATAACAATACTTGGAAGACCAAGGAACAAGACTGAAACTTTCTCCCAATATGCAGCATTTAACTACATCTTTATCATATTCCCTCCTTTCTGACCTCCTCTTCTTTGTCTCTACCACTATACCATATCCCACCTAGTTTACAAAAACAGAAAAACACTCTGGAAGTATTGCTCAAAGGAATAACCTAACTAGTCAATCCTCAACTCCATCAAATGTATGTCTGAGAAATTTTAGTGTAATTTTTTAAACTTGAGAAATAAATGACCAGTGAAGTGAATGTTACATTATAAAAAGCTAGCTATATTGTGTTGTTATTGTGAGATATCTATTTTTCATTTGTCATGTCACAAAGGAGATGCTCACATTAGGTGAAAGGGCTTCCAAGGTCCCTTCCCACTTTAAAATTCTGTGGCCATTGTACTCCCTGTCTCCATTCATCCCCTTCATTCTTCTTAATTTCTTCTTTCCACCTTTAATAACAAAAGGGAAAGAATGGTTGTCAGAGTAAGAATGTGACAGAAGAGAGGAGTGGGGGAAGAGGGGAAGGTGTAGGTCAGTGGTGGAGAACCTGCCCACATGTGGCAGTCTTTTGACTGAGTCCACATTTTAAAGAACAAATCCTTTTATTAAGGGGATTTGTTCTGGCAAGTTTGGATTCAGTCAAAGGGCCACACTTGAGGACCTAGAGGGTCACATGTAGAAAGGAGAGAAAGAGGGGTAATGTAAAAGTTTTCATTGGAAAGAACAAAAATAAGGTATGTTAAATTAAAACTGATTCTTTATGTCTCTAGTAAACAAATGTAGAAGATAATAGCACTTTAGAAACTTTTATAGGAATCCAAGTTCCATAAAAATAGAGATAATTAAATTAAATTAACTATAAAGGACTTATGAAGGAAGATGCTATCTGCACCCAGAAAAAGAACTGATAAGTAGAAGTATGTATAGAATGATTTTTCATAAGTAGAGATATTTGTGTCTAATAGTAGTCATCTCTAGAATGGCGAGGAGGGGAAAAAAGGAAATAAAAGAAATCTTTATGATAACTTTATTCTATATTTAAAAGGAATAGCAAATTGTACATAAGAGATTTGCAGTTCATGTGTAATCATCCTTTTTATTATACTATGTTAGGGAAATGCTTGTTTTATTCCATAAATTAAAAATAAAATAAGTAACAACATGGTGAGAAGGAAGGAGGGAGACCAAGGACAAGAACATTAGGAGATGAGTGGGGAAAGGTGAAGGTAAGAGGAGATTAGGGTGAAGGAGGGATGAAAAGAGGCGCCAAAGACAAGCAGCAGTAGAAGGTGGAGAAATAAGAAACATATCACCATCTTGGCCTCTAACATTGTGGTTCCCTTGAAAAGTGCTTAGAACAAATTTTGCTTAGGAGGAAGACCTCTCAAATAACTTCGCTGAGTCAGAAAAAGTACTCGAGGGGAAAAAGGCATCATGTAGCCTTTGTAATAAGTGTGCTCTAACATTCCTGTCCAACTGTCTTTCTGATAAGATTTGGGTCAGAGCCATAGGCATACACACATCTGTGCAGTATTTAAAAGTTCTTTCTGTCTTGTTTGTTTTCTTTTTTCAAGGCTTAGCCTGAAATACTGTATTTCACAGTATTTCTGAGAAATAAAGGCAGAATTTATTAAGATACAATTGAGTGATTTTCAGACAATCTGTGCCTTATCCCAGAGATAATGTCTAAATCGTTTGTCTCTCTTCAGAGCTAAGATAAGTAAGTGACTCTAGCAGGCCTGTTAGAAGGCCATAGAGATCCAACCTGTAATTAATCACACAACCAAAAGGCAATAGAATGAAGACTAGATTCAGAATCAAAAGAGCTGATTTTACATACTTAAATGATCATGTATGTTACCCAGAACAAGTCATTTGTTTCTGAGAGGCCTAGGCAGAGTCCATATCCAAAATCTTCCTGGTGAATTAGAGCACTGAGCTGAATATAATCAAATGAAATTCAGTGGAGATGAAGGTAAAGTCTTGAACTTGCGTACAAAATGTCAATTTCATAAGGGTAAGATGAAGAAGAGATGGATAGAGAGGAGTTGTTTTGAAAAATGATCTGTGGGTCTTAGTGGACTGCAAGCTTCATATAAGTCATCAGTGTGATGTAATAGCCAAAATAGCTCATGTGCTCTTGGCCTACATTAAGAAGGGCATAGCTTCCCAAAAGAGGAAGATGATTGTTGCCCATACTCTGCCTTTACCAGACCATACCTGGAAAACAGTTTTGAGTTTGGGGTGCCATTGTTTAAGAAGGAGACTGATAAACTGGAGAAAATCCAGAGAGTGCCCAGAGGACAGAAGTCAGGATTGTGAAGGTCCTTGAGTCTTTGTCCTAGGAGGACTGGTTGAAGGAGCTGCAGATGAAGTAGAATCCTGGAGAAGAAAAGATTCTGAGGGACCATCTTTAAGAATCTGAAGAGCTGCAATGTGAAGGAAGGAATGGACTTGTTCCCTTTGTCCCAGTAGGGCAGAACCAGAGGCAATAGACGGAAGTTAGAATTTAGGCTTGATACCAAGGTGGGGAGGGCCTCCATAATAATTGCAGGTATCCCAAAGTGGAACGAATGACCTACAGAAGTCAAAAGTTTCTCCTCCTTGGAGATCTTCAAGCAGAACTTGGATGAGTGTGTCAGACACTAACATGGAGATGCTGTTCATTTATGGGTTAGACCACATGGCTGCAGAGGACCCTTCCATCTCCTAAATTACATGATTCTGTGACTTGGTGATATCTGAAGTTCCTTCAAGCTCTAAATCTATGGTTCCATCATCTTTTCAAATAGATCCTGGCTAAACAAGGCACTAAGTTAATATAGTCACCAAAAGTTTGAAATAAGAGGGCTGTGTTACTATGATTTTGGGTTCTTACAAGTTTTTCCAGGGAAGAACTCTCACAGGTCTTGCAAAAGGCAAAAAGTTTAGATAATTGTCCTAATGATAGACTATACACACATGCACAGAAACACATACGCATAATTCAACCTTAACCTCTTGTATACCTTTTGTTTTATTTTATATGTTCTTAAAAATTACCTAATGCAAATGTTTCATTTTACCAGTAGAACGTGAGCTCCCTGAAGACTTGCGCTAACTTAATTTTTTTTGTCTTTACAACACCGGTACCTAACACAATGCCTGCAACATAGTAATTATTTATTGAACTGACTTACATAGGCAGATTTTTTTAAAAAAAATATATGCTTTATTCCTTTCAAGTAGCAAAAATCTACCACATTATCCTCTCACTCCAGTTACCCCCAACTAAGAAAAAAGCAAAATATTGAGTACTTCACTTCTCTTATCAGGAGGAAGGTAGCACGTTTCTCATCATTAGTCCTCTGAACCCTATCATCATCAGGGGGTGATATAGGCAGTCGAAGCAGACAAGGCCTAGGAATGGTTCTGTTACGTTTTGATGGTCTTGAGGAAAGAATAGAAACTGAGTAACACTGGGAGTGAGGGGGAAAGAGAGGAAGGTTAAAGAAACTTAGTGTACGTAATCAGGCTACATCAGTATGTTTAGATAGTTTTTGATCTGCTCCAGGGAGTACCTACTCACACACACACACACACACACACACACACACACACACACACACACACAAGCATAGTCTCTTCAAGTATTGATGTGCAGTAAGATGTTAAAACAGGGTGTCCCAAAAATCTTAGTGCAGTTTTAAGGTATTAAAGCTTAATTAATTCTTTGAGCTGTTGAAGATGTTTCACTGTTTACATACATTATTATTGGAATATTTTTTCTAAAGACACTATGCAATTAGGATCAAAACAAAATTTTGTTAAAATGTGTAACCAGAACTGCTATGATGTGATGAATTAGATATGAAGCTACCAGCATGGCAGATAGATGGCACAGTAGATAGAGTGCTAGGTCTAGAGTCAGGAAAAGTCATCTTACTGAGTTAAAATCTGGCTTCAGACACTTACTAACTGTGTGACCCTGGGCAAGTCACTTAACCCTGTTTGCCTCAGTTTCCTCATCTATAAAATGAGCTGGAGAAGGAAATGGCAAACCATTCCAATATCTTTGCAAAGAAAACCCCAAAAGAGGTCATGAAGAGTTAAACACAACTAATCAACTACACAATAACAACTAAACAACAAAATCACTACCAGTAATTCATTTCAATCACCTCATCAAACTCCTTTTCATGTCGCAACTCAAATAACATCTGTGACATGTAATGTCTGTGTTTCTTTTTACAAGATAAACAAATGTTGCTATGGCCAGTGATGTCACTGAATGATTGAATCACAGAATGTTAGAGAGAAGGGATTTCAGTGGCTGTATAATCCAATGCATAGCCAAACAGAATACTGTTATACCTGGCAAGTGGTCAGTCAGTCGGGTTTACTTGAAGATATCTAAGGAAGGGAGACCAATCAGGTGATTTGGCTTTGCAAAGCTCTAAATGTTGGGAAGTTTTCTTTAAAATTAAGCCTAAATTTGCTTCTTTGTAATTTCTTTCTTCCTTTTTTCTTTTTGTGAGGCAGTTGGGGTTAAGTGACTTGCCCAGGGTCACACAGCTAGTAAATGCTGTGTCTGAGGCCGATTTGAACTCAAATCCTCCTGACTCCAGGGCCAGTGCTGTATCCACTGCACCACCTAGCTGTCCCTAAATGCTTTTCACACATTAATTAAGTACTTCAAAGTTCCCTTTCTCTACAATGTTGAAGTCATTGTAGAAATTATTCTCCTGGTTCTGCTCACTTCATCCTGCATTATTTCTTTTCTTTTTTGGGAGAGGGTGAGGCAATTGGGGTTAAGTGACTTGCCCAGGGTCACACAACTAATAAGTGCTAAGTATCTGAAGGCAGATTTGAACTCAGGTCCTCCTGACTCCATGCTCTATCTACTACGCCACCTGGCTGCCCCCTTCTTTGCAATTTCTGCCCGTTGTCCATGGTTTTGCCACCTACAACCCTCTTCCATAAGACAACTCTTCAAGGATTTAAATAGTAATCTTGTCCCCTCTGAATTTTCTCTTCTCCAGTTTTAATACACCCAATTTCTTCAACCAATGCTCATATGACATGGATTCAAGGCCTTTCACCATCCTGGCACATTGTTGGCACTCTAGCTGATCAATGTCCTTATTTGATTGTGATAGCAGAACACAATATTAAATTAAAGCAAAACATGTGTATGTGTAAGCTTATGGGCATTGCAGCTGTCTCCCACAGCCTCAACTGAATTTTAGTGCTCCTGGTATTATTTTTGTATGATTGTGCCATAATGTTATAATTATTTTCTATTGTTTGCCCTTGTTTCAATTTTGTGCACGTATCTTTTAAAATATAAATTGATTGGCAAGTTCTCTAAGCATTAACATCAATATCTTTCCAGAAAACTTTTTTTTCTCTCTTCATTAGAATGCCTTTCCTTTCTATAGACAGGCTTTCACTTTTGAGCATTCCCTGTCTCTTCTGGGCTGCTTAGCCTGTCTTTCTTTTCACTCCTTGAAATCTGTTCTGCCCAGATATTGGATGCTTGTTGTACATGCTTGTTATACATTTTCCTTATCTCTCACAAACTTTAAGAGGATGTGGTTACTTCCCCCACCATCTCTAAGCATCCATCATTTCTACATCAGCAACTAGTTTTTCCCTGTTGGTGAGGCTCAGATGCAGAATAGAATTTCCCTCTTATTGCTTCTTCCATATTTTGAAACATGGACATTTTCATGAAAGCAAGTCAAGAAATTATTAGCTTCTTAGCTTTTAGCTAAAGAGAAAGAATCCAGACTGATGTTTGGATAATTTAAAATTTTTATCATAATTATGTTGTCAGATTTCTGACCTTTTTTAGCCAACTCTTCATCTATATCCTCTTTATTCTCAAGTGACACAATACAATTTGACAGCAAAATTGCTTCTCTTTGTCCCTCCAGTGATCTTCACCCAAACTTTCTCTATCATGTATCTCCCAGTTGCTCGTAATTTTGGAGGCAAGATAACTGAAAACAGAGAGAAGGCTGAGTTGTTTGCTTCTTATTTTACTTTTATTTTCTCCACTAAGAAGATTATGTAAGTTTCCAAAGTTCCTCATATGAATATACCTTCATAATATACAAAATTAACCTAGCCCAATATGCTTTCCTTCTCCTTTTTCATTTAAATAAAGTATAAGCATCCAGTGTTTCAGAGAGGCACAGTGGGTAAAAAGAAGGCCTCAGAGTAAAGATTTGTTATGAAATTCTATCTCTGATACATATTGGTTATATGGTCCTAGGTAAGTCAATTAACCTTCAATGTCTCAGGTACCTCTCTGAGACTATGTTACCAAATAGTTATAGCTATTCATTGATAGAGGGAAGATTCCCTGCCAACAGCACTGTACACCAATGAAAACCCGCTAACCACAATATCCCTTGTCATTGGCATCATGCCACCCAAATACCAATGTACCTATGACATCAAATTGATCTCCTTGCATTAGGACCTCCAGTTCATCTGGCTTCTATCTCAATATTATATATGTGTGTAGAAATATTTAAGGGCATAGCTTTTATTACTGGTTCCTTTTTCACATTTTGTTTCCTTTGACCTTCTGGGTACTTATTTACTATTGTTCTTCCTATACTATATCTTCTCCCTATTATATTTAGTTTAATGAATATATATAGTATATATGTATGTATGTATGTATGTATGTATGTATGTATGTATGTATGTATGTATTTTTCCCCTTCCCCACAATTTTCTATTTGAATCACATTTGATTAGATTAGATTCATAAGATGGCAGGTAAATATATTCAATCATTCTTTGACAGGTTCACTCTGTGATTGGACAGGAGTCTATCACCTCTACATTTTAAACTGGCTCCCAGAAAATTGAATCTCATTCTCAGTGCTTACCTCCCAAATCTGCTTTTCTTCAACTTTTGTCTTTAATGATACTATTAATAGTGATTTTATGAAAACATTACTTATATCTCTATTGCTTTTAGTTTTTTGCTTAAGACTTCTTACTCTGGCAAAGGAGGACAGAAATTCCAGACATTAGGGATAGCCTATGGAAAAGCACAGAGACAGAAGATGCTATGGTAGCTAAATATTTAATAAGCCAGATTGGTAAAATGCAGAGTTTGTGGAATTGAAAAATATGGAATAAATATGGAAAATAATTGGCAGCTGTATTATTTTAAGCACCAAACTGATGAGCTTGTATTTTATCTTAGAAGCAACCAGGAACCACTGAAAATTTTCGAGTAGAGGAGTGACATAATTGGAACCGTGTCTTTTTTTATTAATTTGCTAATTGTGCAGATGAGATATTGGAGAAGCAATTTAAGAAACAATTAGGAAGCTGCTATAGTAGTTCAGGTAAGAGATGGTTAGGTCATGGATAAGGGACATAGTATATGGATATAAAGCATGGATACCAACTCCTCCAACAAGGGTTGGTAAGTGATTGGATATGTAGGGAGAGGGAGTTCTACTAACTGTGTATTTCTTTCCATCCTCTCTCTCCTTTCACCTTTACCCTTCTCAATAGTGTTTTGCTTCTATCTATCTACCACCTGCTCTGGTCTGCTCTGTCTTCTGTCAGTTTCACAACACACACCTTTGCTTAATCTCCTTCGCTCCTGATTTCCTGTCAGGTAAGAATAGATTTCTATATTCAGCTGATTGTGCATATTATTCCCACTGAGCCAATACTAATGAGAGTAAGGTTGAAGTGATGCCCATCACCCACTCTCCCATCTTTCACTCCACTGTAACAGGTTTTTATGCCTCTTCATGTGAAATAATTTATCCCATTCTACCTTTCCCTTCTTTGTGCACCCAGTGTAATCCTCTTTCCCATCTCTCAATTATTTTTATGTCATTCCCTCCAATTCATCTTATACCTGTACCCTCTATCTATGTATATCACTTCTAGCTATACTATTACTGGTGCAAATTTTAAGAATTACAAATATCATCTTCCCATGTAGGGCTATAAACAGTTCAGCTCCATTGAATCCCTTATGTTTTCTTTCTTTCTTTTTTTTTTAAACCTTTTTAGGTTTCTCTTCAGTCTTGATATTTGAGATCAAGTTTTGTTCACTTCTGTTCTTCTACTTACAAAAGTTTGAAATCTTTCTATTTCATTGAATGACCTTTTCACCCCCTGAAGTTAGGCTTAAATTTGCTGGGTAGGTGACTCTTGATTGTAGTCCTGGTTCCTTTGCCTTCTAGAATATCATTTTCCATGACCTCCAATCCTTTAATGTTCCAGCTGCTAAGTCCTGTGTAATCCTGATTGTGGCTCCCCAATATTTTTGAATTGTTTCTTTCTAGCCGCTGTGGTAATTTTCCTTGACCTGACAGATGTATAATTTGGCTATAATGTTTTTTGGAGTTTTTGTTTTAAAATATTTTTCCTGAAGTGATCCCTGGATCTTTTCAATGCCTATTTTGCCGTCTGATTCCAGGATAGCAGGGCAGTTTTCTTGATAATTTCTTGAAAGATGCTGTCTAGGTCTTCCATCTGATTTTGGCTTTCAGGTAGTCCGACGGTTCTGACATTGTCTTTCCTGGATCTATTTTTTGTTTTTCTAATGAAGTACTTTACGTGTTCTATTTTTTTTCATTCTTTTGAATTTGTTTGATTGATTCTTGATGTCTCATGGAGTCATTAGCTTCCATTTGCCCAATTCTAACTGTTAAGGTGTTATTTTCCTTAGTTAGTTTTTGTACTTCCTCTTCCATTTGGCCAATTCTACTTTTTAAGCAGTTGTTTTCTTTGTTCAAGCTGTTGAACCTTTTTTGATAATTCTCTTGCGTCTCTCTCATTTCTTTCCCCAATTTTTCTTTTACCTCTCATGCATAATTTTTTAGCTCCTCTTTGAGTTCTTCCATTAGTTCTTTCTGGTCTTGAGACCACTTCCTGTTTTTGTTTGGAGGTTTGTCCACAGGTATTTTGGTATTGTTATCCTCTTCTGAGTTTTTTGTCTTGATCTTCCCTGTCACCATAAGTTTCTATGGTCAGATATTTTTGTTGTTGTTTTCGCTCATTTTTTTTTGTCTTTTTCCTTTCTTTTAAATTTGAGCTATGCTCCCCACATGGATGGGGCACTGTCTCAGGTTTCTTGTGCTACAGGCCAAGTGTTGCTACACTGATGTTGCCCTGAGGCCCACAGGAGATCTTCCTGTCTGGTGTGGGCCTGAGGGGATGGGCTCAGGGGTGCTTGGCACAACTGGAGGCCATAGGGCCTTACCTGGCAGCTTACCTCATGCTGATCCAGGGTCCCAGTGCTGGTCTATGGAGTGTTGAGGGTGGTGGGGATGTTTCTGCATTTCCCTGGGGCTATCCCAAAGGGCATGGCTATCACTGGAGGCTGCTGGTTTGCCAAGGGCCATGCTGAAGCATGTGACAGTTGCCTCATCCTGATGGCTG